CCCCCCGCTGGGGAATGCAAGTACATCCAGCCACCAACGAGTCCCAAATAGGACGAAATGAGCGTTATCCTGGATTCCACTGCTAGTCACCATCCACTTAACTGACTCCAAGTTACACGATCAGACATAGTAGTCCAAGCATCTGCACAAAGAAGCAACATGTCAACCTGAGACCAAGCACTTTAGTCCAATCAGTCAACGGAAAATCTAAATTTTAATTACATACAAGAAGAAATCGCCTGAATTTCTAGTGAGGAAGTCGGGATCACCGGGGTGTAACAAGTTGGGTGTGAGGACAAATACTCGTCAGCGATGAAACGAATTAGCAGAAGTTGGAATTCATCGGTCGGTCGGTCGGTCGGTTTTCGACTTAGAACTTTGCACATATGTGCGGCAGTTCAAGTCGCCACAATCTATGTAGCACGCAAAGCAAGAGAAGAAAGTAGAAGAAATGCATAATATAGACAGTAAACAGAGGTGTGAGACAAAGGAATAGTAATAACGGAGAACAAAAGTTTAATTGGAAGTCATAAGTCACAAGGAGTGGATGCATCTGCGCCACTGAGAACGATTTTGAGCCATGTCACCAATTGTTTCCAACCATTGGTTTTTACCATCCCGAGGGCCCCAACCAGGAAGTCTACATCTTCCTACGTGGCTTAGATTAACTGTTGTGGATTTCATTGATTGGTGCCATGTTTTGGTTTGACCGCCGCTAGCTCTTTTCCAGCCTGACCCTATATCAGCTAACATTGCCCGTCGAGGAAGGCGATGACTAGGCATTCGTAGCACATGTCCCAACCATCTCAGTCGAAGTAATTTCACAGTCTCGTCGATTGATTTCCCCGCCTTACCTAGCACTCGACGCCTAACCTCAATATTGCTCACCTTATTATACCACTTCACGCGGGAGATAGAACGCAGACACCTATGATCGAAGACAGCTAATCTTTTCATGTCTTCTGCTCTCAATGGCCAGGTCTCACAGCCATAAAGGAGGATGGAGCGGACTGTTGAGCAGTACACACGCCCTTTGGTCGATAGTCGGATATCGCGTCTACGCCAGAGACGGCGAAAACTGGCGAATGCGAACCTAGCCCTCTGTATTCGTGCTGAAATTTCGTCGGAGATCAACCCGTTGGGGCTGATGGTACTTCCCAAGTAAGTGAAGCGGTCAACGTGCTCTACCACTTCACTTCCTATTTCTAATCTAGGGGTCGATGAAGTCCAATCCTGCAGCATCATCTTACATTTTTTAGGGGCGAATCGCATGCCAAACATGCGGAGATTATTGCTCAGGGTGTTCAGTAGACTCTGCATTTTGTCAGAGTCCTCGCCTAGAAGGACTATATCATCTGCATATTCTAAGTCAACGAGATTCTTCCCTGGTAGCAAGTCAATCCCTGAGTCGCTGAAGTGAGTTAGGGTTAAGTCCATTAGTACATCTATGATGAAATTGAATAGGAATGGAATTCATCGGCTGGCCAATAAGTGGCTAAATAGTCTACCAGCTAGACTTGTGTAATCGGAAGGTGTTTGGTTCGAACCCCCCCCCCCGTGATGGTTGCATACTGTTGAAAAGTCTCAAACCAACACAAAATAGAGAGCTGTCAAACACTGTCTAGTTTCCGAATAGTTCTCAATTTGTTACAAAAATAATCGCAAAAAAAGATAGTTCACACTAATAGTGATTAAATTAAATAACGCACCAAAAAAGGAGAGATATGGACTTACTTGCTGCTTTAATCAATTCTGAGTGAAATGCTGCAGCTGCAACAGCTGATGTAGACGAAGCGGATACCGATGGCAGTGATGTCAATGGTGAGGCTGATGCCGACGATTGATGATGATGATGATGATGAGTAAAAGCGGCAGCAGCAGCCGCAGCTGCGGCAGCTACAGCTATCACTGAAGGCGACGACGATGACGACGAAGATGATTTCCCATGTGAAGCAGCTAAATTATCATAAACTGTAGTAAAATTGGATAGTGCAGCAGAAGAAGAACAAGAAGTAGAAGTAGAAGTAGAAGAAGAAGCAGAGCATAAAGAAGATTTCGGTGTAGGAATTCTGAAAGGCACAGGTGATAGTGATAATGGGATACTTGGTTGTTGTGGTTGTTGTTGTTGGTGTTGGGAGTGTAGTGACGGTGGTGGTGGCGGAGGTGGCCATTGAGGAGGGGATTGTAGTTTAGGACTAGATGAACCAGATGACACAACTGCAGCAGCTACAGCAGCAGCTTGTAGAGCAGCACCGTAGAATGGTCCAGCCATAAAAGCACTCAAGGATGGTGTGAGTGCACCGAACGGAGGCAATATCGGTGAAACACAATTGCTCTGATGATTATCAGTAAAGGACTGAAAAAAGAAAGAAAGACCAGAACAATAAACAGTATTAGGCATCACATTTGATTTCTGAATTGATTACTATTCAGTATGGGCATGGTAAATACCAATGTAACGACAGAAGACAACGGCCACTCAACAGATTCTTCATTGAGGAAATCAACAGATATTTATATATTTTTATGTACATTATTATTAGCGTTATTGTTAGCAGAGAAACAGCGTCTTCTGATTGGTTGTTATCTTGCTGTTGGTTGTTCTGTACTGCTTGTAACCGTTTCTCAGAACGTTAAGCCATCTATCTACGAATCTTATTTGCACACGTCAAGTCTCCTGTGATTGGTTGATGAGTTCCTCAAGGTTAAGCTTCGCTATTGTTTTTTTCTGATGACCCCGATTCGGGACGTGTAACATTGACGCAAATTACTGTCTGCAATTTTTGGCTAGTAGCCAGCTCTCACCACACTACTACTCATTAAATGACATAATGAGTAGTTGGATATCAATCACATCAACCACCGATAGTGCTTACAAGACGGATTGATATCATCTAAACATCGGAAGGCTGTTTGGCGAAGCTCAACAATAGCGTCCCAGGAGTGGGAACACTCCAGTGACCTTGAACCCACGCTAGTCCTTGCGCTAACGGCACCTGTCATTATCATAACTAGCATAGTAACGCTAATCACAAACTAAGATGCGAATTTCACCCTGATCATGTTTTTAAGTACTGTTTGGATAATGTGTTAGTAGCTCGGTAGGGTTAGGATTAGGGTTAAGGTAAGTATTGGGTTAGGGTTAGGATCAGGGTTGTAATTAGGGTTAGGATTAAGGCTAGATTTACGACTAGGGATGGATCTAGGGTTGATGTCATTGATTTTAATTTGTTTTATAATCCACATTTTCCTGGTAAGTAGTCGTCGATCCTCTCACTGGATACCGTAGTAATTCCAGCGAGGGCTTTTGGGGAAGACTGCACAACAGGATAAGAGAGATAAACGACTCGCAAATACAGCTCATCTTCAGTCACCTAGGTGAATACATGTACAGAAACTAGTCTAACTTAGCAACTGATACTCCTCATTATAACTGGGACGTATGTTTAGTCATCTCAGAAAAAGATACCCTGTTTAATGTTTCCATGCATCTTCTTGTAAATAAACATCATCTTTTGTGCAAAAGTCACTTATTTTTATGATTGGTCGGCTGAAGGTCACACTCGTGCGTTCGCATCCTTGGGACGCTATTGTTGAACTTTTTCGGCTGTTTCACCCATTTGAAGCTGGGTCCATCGATGTACATAACCAGAGTGATAGATGAATTACTTCAAACCATCAGAATTCTGGCTACCTAACTAAACGAATTGATTATAAATGGAATCAAAATCACACGTTTAACAGATCGAGATGAGATTTCACCACAAAAGGAAATAGAATAAACAGAGAAACAAAAGATTCAAAAAAAACTATATTGATCATAAATATGAAAGAGAGAAAAACAACAGTAACATGGTAAAAACACGAGGGTTGAATGCATATAGGAGTGAATGCATCTCTACTATTATTGACAACGATTTTTTGAGCCTTATCACCAACAGTCTCCAGGTTCCATTGGTTCTTAGAACCCCTGAGGACCTCAACTAAGCAGTCTACACCTTCTGCTTTGTGTGGCTTACTTAAACCAACAGTCAAAGACTTCATAGATTTGATTTAATCACCTGTAAGTCGTCTACAACATAATCCTCTGTGTCAGCTGACATTGCTCTTTTCTAGGAAAGAGGTGGGTTTGGCATGCGCAGCATATCGTCCTATTCATCTTGATCAATGTGGCTTGACAACCTAATTCAGTTGATCCCACCCCACCCCCCTTGGATTAGCACTTTATGCCTAACCTCAATATTGTTCACTATATTTTTAATAATAATAATACTATCTTTATTCTGGACAGTATTTATAAAATGTACAGATATTTCCGCGAGAAACACATTCATCAACCTGAAACCAATCTGGAAATCTTCGCCACTCAGCATCAACAACAAAATTTGGATTTTAAATACAAACGTCAAGTCAGTCAGTTCTTCTATACGGATCAGAAACTTGGCGGCGGGTCACAAAGAATATTTCCAACAGCCTGTTGCAGACCTTTATCAACAACAACTGTCTTCGCTCTATACTCAAGATCAGATGGCCGGAAAGAACAAGAACCAACAAGAAACTATGGGAACAAACAAAACAAGAACCACTCGGCCAACAAATATGCAGGAGAAAGTGGAGATGGATTGGAAACTCGCTGAGGAGGCCGCTGGGTGACATCGCGCGTCAGGCCATAGCTCGAGTGGAACCCGAAAACGAAGCGGCGAGTGGGACGTCGAAGGGTGACATGGAGAAGATCGTGTGAAGAAGAGATGAAACAGTAGGGACTAACATGGATACAGGTGTAAAGTACAGCAGAAGACAGAAGCAAGTGGAGACGTGCAGTTGAAGCCCTATGTTCCACTAGGAACCCAAGGGAACAATAATAATAATACAGATATTTTCGGAGGAGTTTATTGCATGATACTTTCCCTTCGTACAGTCAATATCTTCAAGTAAAATATTAATCAATTGACAGTATCTCCTTCCTGTGACACATGGTGGTCTCTGAGCTGAAGCACAAACCATTATGATATATACATATGCCTTGTCTCCTTCGAGAAATCCGCGATATCGATCTAGTTGAAAGCCAATTGCAAGATGTTCAGAAGTACATTTTGAGACCCAAGGACTTAACTGAAGAACACTTATCTCATGCTGTATTGGAAAACGTTGCCAGCCCACAATCACAGGCCATTCCCCAAGTTTAGTAGGAACTTACGAATCAGAAGCTTGTAAACATTTTAACTACACACACAAGAGTATATAATACCAATAGAGGTCATATCTTGATCGATTAAAACAAACCGAGCGAGATGGAAGTTTTCGGTAGCTCAACAATTTTTAAGCTGGCCACCGTCTATTATTATTATACCTGCCTCCAACTATCTAATATCATCAAGTCAATGTGCACCATGATGGTGAGCCACCACCTAGAATGGTGGCCACATTGCAAAACCTGACTGACTGATAGAATTCAGTCTGTGCACCAAAGAAAGGACTAGACACGTCACACTAGTTACTAGTGTCCAATCAAAATACCCACTACAGTTCTACAGGAGGTCAATCGCGAGTCCGAATAGCTGGCTCAGTGGTAACGTCTCTGACTGCAGCCCTCACTGCGTGAAATGGGTTAGAATCTCAAAAGGGATATGAGTTCCTTCTAGGTTGCAGATATGCCTTGTTGACTGGTGAGTGTCAACTAGCACGAAACCTAGGTCAGGCAAGGCTTCCTGACGATTGCCTCCAACTATCTAATATTATTATACCACCACTACATAGCACGTAAACAGCTGTAGTATCTATCGGTATCAATGGCTATGCCTCATAGACATTAGGGACGATAGGGTGAACAGAAAGATAACACCGTTAAAGAAGAAAGAGATGGTTGAGACTTGTTTTCTGGTCTTTTTTGGAGAATGAACACGCACACACACACACTTTCACACAAACTCAAACAAACAAACAAAGAGAGAAGAAATGTTGAAGAGGTATTCTCTCAAGAATGTACAGTGGCTAGGTGTATTATTACTTATTAAATCAATAGACAAATTATATATATATATATATATATGTACATATATATATATATACTTGCAAGGTCATTCGGGTGCACAAGTATAAGTATAGCACTTGATTTATTATTTTCTAGAGTATTAACAGGTATATGAACGACTTCTATTCAACCATATACACACAATTCTTTACAATTCAACGTAGAAAAGGAATCCAAACTAAGTATTCCCTTTCTTGATGTGTGCCTTAGCAGACGTAATGACGGATCTCTCAAAAGATCTATCCACCGGAAATGTGTACATGGAACGGACAACTAACTAATTTTTTACAGTTGGGTGCCTATTTCTAAGAAAAGGAACTTAATTCATTCGCTCTGTCTGCTCTAGGATAAGGAAAATTTGTAGTTCTGATTCCGTTGACTCGGAACTTGACTTCTTAAAAGCCACTCTCGCCGAAAAAGGGTTACCCTAACCGATTTATTGACAGCAACATGAAAGATAAACAGTCTAAACTGGTCACCGACACAGTTCCAAAGAAAACCTTATTCATGAACTTGGAATTCAAAGGTGACCAAGCTTCAGATATGCTCAAAAATCGTCTCTCTAAAGCAGTCAGTAAGACATTCTTTGCAGCAAAATTACATATGACGATCAAGTTCTCTACCTCTGTAAAAGATAAGCTCCTCAGTCTGGCCGCCTCCATGTGCATCTATCAGTTCACCTGCTCTTGTGGAGCAAGGTACATTGGCCGTAGTCAGAGGACGCTTTCCACACGGATACGAGAACATATTCCAGTTGCATGGTTTTACAAGGGAGAAAGGAAGTGTGTGTGAAGCTCTATTTTGGAACACCTGATCAACTTCTGTCACCCTGTCAACCCTGACCATGATTTTAAGATCATGTGTGCGTCGGTGGCACAGTGGTTAGGACTCTCGCCGACCATGCACATGGTCTGGGGTTCGATCCCCTGCCGGCGCACACCCGATATCTATGGTCGGCCTGAATTTGGGCTACCGATATCCAAGCTGAAAATTCCATACTTGTACTGAAAATACGGTGTGGAATCAAGCTGTAAATCAAAAAAAAATCCATGCTAACTTCCCGCGTTTTCTTCGTTACAGACTTCTAAAGACAGCTGAGGCCTTGGCAATTCATGACTTTAAGCCAGACCTTTGTGTACAAAAGAAGTATGTACAATCCCTACTTCTGCCTTGGCCGTAGAGGGATAGACATTTATTTATTTTGTTTATTTAGTTATTCTATGTACTCTTCCCTTATTACTACGATTATTATTAATATTATTATTATTACTATTCTCACTCTGAATCTTTTCCACTTGACCCACTTGACATTTTAAACCCAAAAT